CTACATTTTTGTTCATAAACTCACACACCAAAATGTCGTTCTTCAAGTAAAATTTATAAGAACAATCTAACATTTTAGAAAAGACAATTCTTAGTCTCAACTAATCTAGAATGTTATTTAAAGCAAAATATATACAAAAACTCCCTAAATAATTGTTCCATTAATTGTCAAACAGTTATTCTTCAAACATAACGTAGCTGAAGAGTACTTTTTATAAAACAATTCTTACATTCATTTAAAGCCACGTTAGCTTGCTCTAGAAAGAATGACTAATCACGTCCTCTGACATGGCAAAATCTCTTACTTCTTCACATCTTTGCATATACTGTTCCTTCTGCCCAGAATGCTTTCCCTGGCTTGTCCAGTTGGCAAACTCACACACTTCCTTCAAATCCCTGCAGGTGTATTCACCTGGGAATCCCCCAAGCAGAGGCAGATGTAAGCGCTGCTTCCTCTACACTGCCCCTGTGCCCCTTCTGAACCTCCATTAGGTATGGCTGCTGCTAAAGTACACTGCAATTACCTGTTTACACATCTATTTTCCTTCAATGCTGATAGTTGCTCATGGACAGAAATCATGCATTTTCATCTATATTTCCTAGTCCCTAGTGCAGAATCCAGCACAACACAGTTGGGGTTCATTACTTAATAACTTACCTAATATAAGCCAACAAATTATAAACATTTAAAACCTTTCCAGAGACGATTAACCCGTTATTATTCCACTTTAACTAACCTACAGGCTATCCTGTAACTCTAGTTTTCAGACAGGCAGGACAGGGGCTGTTTTTGAAGATTTCCTTTTGACAACTAAACACAATGTACAAGACACTGTGGTGGGTAATGTGAGGGTTAAAATATCAGGGGTCCCATCTCATTTGATCAGGGGATCAAAATACAGTGGAAGACAGACAAGTTTTTAATTGTTTCAATATATTGTTCAGTAAGAATAATAGAAATAAGTGCTCTGGAAACTATGACGTGCAAGGGCTAATTATGATGAAGAAGACTGGAAAAGAGACAACAGATAACATTTGAGCTGGGCCTTGACAAATGGGTAGAAAAGAAAATTCTTGGTCAGAGAACAAACAGCATGAGCAAAAAGGTTCTGAAGTATAAGATAAATGCATATTATACATTTAAAACTTCTTACTATTAGAGATACAAGCATTCTGCAAGAAAATGCTGAGGGAAGTCTGATCATAAGAACTGTAGAAGCTCTGTAGAAAACAAATCTATTATATCTCTCCTGTCTCTTCTAGCTAAAAAGCATTCTTGGGGACATCATCAGTTACTATCATCCTATCAGATCAATTCACTCACTGACAAAGGGAAATATCAATCATCAAAAGATAATACTTCATACACTAACCACTGAGCGGGCTTGATTTTTTTTTTCACTTATTCTAAAAAAATATTGAGGCACAAAAGGAAACAATATCAATAATAGCAGCTGACAACTCGTCAGTGCCACATACTCTAAAAGTGCTTTCACATGTATTTTTACTCATTTAATCCTCAAAACGACCCTATGAAATAGGCATGATTATTAGCCCTATTTTATAGATGAAGAAACTCAGCCACAGAAAGGTGAAATAAGTTGTCCAAGGTAACAAAGTAAGCAGCAGAGCCAGATACAAACCCTGCAGTCTGGCTCTAGAGTCTGGGCTCTTAACCACTGTCTCTGTGTGTACACACACACACACTTTTATATTAATTTAAATAATAGGGTACAATTTTTTTTTTTTGCTGCAAAAAGCTTTATTGTTTCTATTTGGTCCACGGCTTGGGAGAGGGCTCCAGGGTGGTTAAAAAGCTACTTAGTGGCTGCACGAAGAGGCTCAGGCAGAAGCTCTGACACCAGGGGGCTGCCAGAGGGGCTCCTCAAAGGCTGCTGGACTGCGGAGGCTCCTAGTCACGCTTGAGGGTGAGCCTTTGGAAGAGATACTCGCCCAGCCCAGCCTGGGGGCCAGAGAGCCTGTGAATGTTGGTCAGGTGGTCGCCCATCCTCTTGATGTGTTTCACTTCCTCCTCTAGGAAGTGGTTCTCCAGGAAGTCACAAAGATGAGGGTCTGAGTGGGCAGAACCCAGGGCATGCAGATCTAAGAGGGCCTTGTTCAGATTCTTCTCCAGCGCCATTGCAGCTTCCATAGCCTCCACGGTGTTGCCCCACTCATTGTGGGACGGCTTCTGCAAGTCCTGGAAGAGGGCTCGGCTGCCGCACTGGTTTTGCATCTTCAAGAGACGCTTGGCGCCCTCGCGCTTCTCCTCTGCCAACTCAAGGAAGAAGCGGCACACGCCCTCCAGAGCCACATCGTCGCGGTCGAAATAGAAACCCAGAGAGGGGTAGGTGTATGAGGCCCGCAGATACATGTTGACCAGGTGGTTGACCGCGGCCACCACTTCAGTAGAATAATTCTGACGAATCTGGGAGCTCATGGTTGATGGCAGTAAGGACCTGAGCTCAAAAAATCGGTGTTGGCTGGTCCCGCCGGAGGTAGAGGATGGCTGAGCTGGTCCGAAGGCTACGACTGGAACAGAGGTTGGAGGGTGGTCGGAGGCTGGAAGAAGAGGGCGTCCCTGAGTCTGTTCCGTCCAAACACTGTTGAAGCTAGAGACAGATCTAGGGGACGCTGAGTGCGCTGCCAGGGTACATTTAATTTTGTGCATGGAAAAACCACAAATTTTCTGTATTATATAACACTGACTTACAATTTTTTTTTTTTTTGTGAGATCAGCCCTGAGCTAACATCCATGCTAATCCTCCTCTTTTTGCTGAGGAAGACCGGCTCTGAGCTAACATCTATTGCCAATCCTCCTCCTTTTTTTT